GCCCCTCATAAGCCTTCCTGAGTTGGGGGTTCGGGGTGCTGGCGGTGGGGGAGGCGGTTTTGCCCTGGAGCCAGCGGCTCACTAATCGCCTAACTGCAAATAGCCCGAGGAGCGAGGGGGAGGAGGGCGCCTTGACCCGGGTCGGGACAATGGGCGTCGGTTCAGAGCAGGTTCTGCCAGCAGTCCAGGACGGTGAAATCCTAACCCGCATTGCATGCGCTCCCTCCATCCATTGTTTCTCCTCTAGGCGTCCCATTGCTCAGCTCCTGGAGTGTGTGTGGCCTCTGTTAAGCAGAGACCTCAAGGAGCCTTGCTGGTCCAGAAATGCTCCTGGCTTTTACCCCAGCCCTAGCTGCTCTCCTGTGAACATGTGGCCCTTCTTTCTCTTCTGTTTTCTGCAAGGCTCTGGTTCCCAGAGGGTCCATTCCTTGGAGACCCCTGTACATTCTGATCAGGGAAGCCGTCTTCCCTTAGAGAGTGGTTCTACATCCACCTGGTGGCTCGCCCACGGGGTCACCATATGTTAAAAATGTTAAACAGAAGCAGACGCCTATAAATTCATGGGAGGTACTCTAGTCTTGAAATAAAGGCCTCCTTTGCTTGCCGGTCTGGTAATTTTGTGTCTCAATTCTCATTTCCCAGGCTCTGATGCAGAGCCTTTGTGTTCATCTGTAATCTGGCCCTTCCTTTACCCAGTTTTGAACCGGTCTGTTCCATTCTATTCAAACCAGACCCTGATCTGCTGACCTGCTAATTTTCTACTCACGCTATATGGGTTTGTTCTTCAAGCACCTCCAGGGAATTGGGATTGTCCACAGTACTTGACAATTTCTGAATAGGTTAGCAACTTGTCTGAAACTGTAGACAAGACTCTAACCCAGGTCGTTTTATCTGCAGTTTTCCAGAACAGGTCTGGACAGACCTGGAGGGAGCTGGGGAGGTTCCTTGAGTCTAAGTTAAACCACTAACACCAGAGTCATTTGAAGATTGGGATAAAGAGACCAGGGGCTTATGGGCAATTGGGGCACTTCTGCCCACATCCCTCGGTACTCACATTCTCCACCCCCCCCTTCCTCCCAGGTCATCAAGAGAGAGGGTACAGGCACAGAGACACCCATGATTGGGGACCGGGTCTTTGTCCACTACACTGGCTGGCTATTAGATGGCACAAAGTTTGACTCCAGTCTGGATCGCAAGGACAAATTCTCCTTTGACCTGGGAAAAGGTAGGCATCGTTAGTTGGGCTGGCAGGATAGGCTCCAAAGTTGATCATGGCTGTTACAAGCAACATTTACGTTCTCAACCAAGCTTGAGCTGGGTGCAGTAGTACTTATCTATGTTCCCAGCTACCAGAGAAGCTGACACAAGCAAGTCACTTGAGCCCAGGAGTTCGAGATAGCCTTGGCAAAATAGCATAAACTAGTCATCAGAAAGGGAAGGGAAAAAAAAAAAAAACAACCCACCAGAACCAAGATCAGGAATGATTAAGAATCTTATCTATTGCCCAGCAATGGTGGCACACGTCCTTAGTCCCAGCACCCCGGGGGTGGGGAGGAGTGACAGGTTGATCTCTGAGTTGGAGGCCAATGTGGTCTACAGAGTGAGTTCCAGGACAGCCACGGCTACACAAAGAAACCCTGTCTCGGAAAAACAAAATGACAAAAAAGAATCCGTCCTGTATTCTCTTCCACTGTTCTGGGACTGGCCAATTTCTTCCCCATCTCATCGATTCAACTCCTCCGTCCCTCTAAGGGTGGGCAGTCTTGCTTTTTGAACTCTATTGCAAGGCTGGGCGGTCTTTTAATGTGCTGTGGATGACAACACCGCTGCTGCTTGTCTCTGATCCCATTTCTATGGATGTTCAGGTTCCCCCTTGGGTAGAGGACACCAGCTGTCTGTTTGGGGGGACATTGAGCTTAGAGTTAGACCCCTGCTGAGCAGGTCTCCTTTGCCTTTACCTGCAGGGGAGGTCATCAAGGCTTGGGACATTGCTGTGGCAACCATGAAAGTGGGGGAAGTCTGCCATATCACCTGCAAGCCGGAATATGCCTATGGTTCAGCGGGCAGCCCCCCAAAGATCCCCCCCAACGCCACGCTTGTATTCGAGGTAAGTGCTGGCCACAGAGCGCCAGGCAGAGCCAGGCCTTATCTCACCCCATTGCCTGGCTGCCCTCCAGCCCTTCCTGCCTCCTGGAGACAATGTAGCCAAGCCTGAGGGCCTAGCTTTAGTAGGAGGAGAGGTGGAAAGGATAGCTGGCTCTGCCGCAGCCACAGTGGCCAGTAATAGAAGCTTTGGGTTGGAAGAGGGGCCTCCAAAGCCCTTCTAGAATAGAAGTGACTGAGGCGCTCTTAACTGAAAGGAGTCGGGGGTCAGGAGTCATTAGGGTTATAAAGGGTAGTGTGGAATATTGGCAACCTGGAGCAGGGGAAGGAGAGAGAGACAACTTCCTGCAGGTCAGAGGTTGAAGTGTGATCTCCACTGAAGGGGAGATCTGAGGCTGTTTAGTCTGAGAGTGGAAAACCGACCAGTGGGTATGAGAAAATTCACAAGGCCACTGAGATGCCTACCAGATTGAGTTTCTCGTGTCCTTGTTAAATGAAGCAGGGTGATAGAGAGCTTGTCTTTCTGAGGCCAAGTGGAGTCTGTGTCCTGCTGGCCTCTGCCAAAGTGTGAGCCAGAGCATCGCCCAACAGCTTGTCAGAAGTGCCACCATCCAGTTCCTGCTGGGACTGTGCCCCTCTGGCTAGATGTGGTCTGGCCATTAGTGGTAACTTCTGGGTGGAAAAGAGCTTCACTGTTGAGTTGGTCGCCACCTTACATCGCATCCCACAGGTAGAGCTGTTTGAGTTCAAAGGAGAAGATCTTACAGAAGATGAAGATGGTGGGATCATCCGCAGAATACGGACTCGTGGTGAAGGCTATGCCAGACCCAATGATGGTGCCATGGTAGAAGGTAAGAAAGTGCAGTCTGGTGTGCGAAGAAAAATCTAGAGTTGCATATGATTGCTGGCTTGGGGAAGAAGGGCCTTGGGTGGTTTGGACTAAGTCATTTCCTTTCTATAAGTCTTTTGTAATCCATAGAGTGAGGAGTTAAACCACACTGTCTTAGCATCCCTGCAGGTCTGAGACACAATGTGGTTATCTTGGGTATTAGCAGTAATTTGGAGATGGGGGGGGCTGGTGGCAACTTCCTCAGTGCTCTGCTCTCTCACACCTGGAGCACTGCCTCTCTTTGATGCAGTGGCACTGGAAGGCTACTATAAGGACCAGCTCTTTGACCAGCGGGAGCTCCGCTTTGAAGTCGGCGAAGGGGAAAGCCTAGATCTGCCCTGTGGGCTGGAGTCGGCCATTCAGCGAATGGAAAAAGGCGAACGTTCCATTGTATACCTCAAACCTAGGTGAGACACCGGCACTTTGCAGAACCAAGGGACATAACTGAATGTCTCCAGGGAGCTATGTGACAGGCACTATGTGCTCGCTGCTGTCTGTCACCATCATGATCCCTTCCCTCATTGGATCTGAAAGTGTGGCCCACAATTGTCCACATTTCTTTACATCCAAGCCAACATCATGATTTTCATCTGCCATTAATTTATTCAGTCATTAATGTTTGTTGAAACACCTACTGTATGCCACATACTAAAGTTCTTAGGGCTTCAAAATGGTTCTTGCTTCCTTGTCTCTTGGAGTTAGTCAGTGACCAGTCTAAGTCTCTTGGAGTTAGACAGTGTATAGTTGAAAGAGTTAGTAACAACTGATAGGAAGTGCCATGGGACCACCTGAATGTATAATGAAGAAATTGGGGAAATGTTTGCCAGACAAAGTATTTGAAGCAGGTCTCAAGATGGAAAGGTACTTTTCCAGGGAACAAACCGCCTTTGAGCCCAGAGCAGCAGACAAAGGGCCGTGAGGTGACCCAGGTATTTTCACCCCCACAGCTATGCTTTTGGCAGTGTTGGGAAGGAAAAGTTTCAGATCCCACCACATGCTGAACTGAGGTATGAAGTCCATCTGAAGAGTTTCGAGAAGGTGAGTCTCCCTGAGGCCTTCCCTCTCCTGGAGTCTGGTCTGTGGGTGACTGAGGAAGCTGACCATGGTGTCTGTCTTCTGGGGCATGGCAGGCCAAGGAATCTTGGGAGATGAACTCTGAGGAAAAGCTGGAGCAGAGCAACATAGTGAAAGAGAGGGGCACTGTATACTTCAAGGTGAGCCAAGGACAAGATACCCCAGAGAGGACTGTCCAGATGATACTCGGCCACAGTTATGGGTACCCCTTGTGATTGTCACTTGTTATATCTTACTTAGTCCATTGGTCTGGGGTGGGAAGAAGTGGGAATCTGGTGTCTAGGAGTCACTCGTGGCTACCAGGTAAGGCAACCTGGGCTGCTGAACCTGCGCTGGGTGCCTGAGCTTCACTCCCATTCTAGGAAGGCAAGTACAAGCAAGCTTTGCTGCAGTACAAGAAGATTGTGTCTTGGCTAGAATACGAGTCTAGTTTTTCCGGTGAGGAAATGCAAAAGGTCCATGCCCTTCGACTGGCCTCACACCTCAATCTGGCCATGTGTCACCTGAAACTGCAGGCCTTCTCAGCTGCCATCGAAAGCTGTAACAAGGTGAGATCCCTTTGGAGGAAATAGCATTTACAGGCAGGCTGCTGCACTCACTGCCAGCATGCCTAAAAAGTGCCTGCAGTCACTGGGTGGAGTGAGTGGGATATGTGGTTGGAATTCTGAGTTACAGGCCCAGAGAGGCCTAGTGGCAGGTGCTTTGATGGTGGGAGACAATAGATTCAGACAGTAAGCAAGCCCTAGAGTCGGGTTGTATTGTCATGTTCTGTATCTGGAGAGGTGAGATTATGTTCTTCCTGCATCTGAAGACCTGCTCTATTTCCTTTCTTCTCTTGGGTTAAAGTAAGTTTTTTCTGAGCCATGACCCTTCCCATTTAATGCCTCTATTTTTTTTTTCTTTTTCCTAACTTGACACCAGTCATTTCTACTGAGCCTCATCCTGCTAATGGGGTCCCCTTGGGAATCCAGCTGGTGCTACAGAGCCTGATGTCTCTGCTGCTTCCTTTCTGTGCTTTTAGGCCCTGGAGCTGGACAGCAACAATGAGAAGGGCCTGTTCCGCCGGGGAGAGGCACACCTGGCCGTGAATGACTTTGACCTTGCACGAGCTGACTTCCAAAAGGTCCTGCAGCTCTATCCAAGCAACAAAGCCGCCAAGGCCCAGCTGGCGGTGTGCCAGCAGCGGACCCGCAGGCAGCTTGCCCGGGAGAAGAGGCTCTATGCTAACATGTTTGAGAGGCTGGCTGAGGAGGAGCAGAAGGTGAGGGTTGGGGTATCTTCATTGCTGTGAAGAGACAACCATGACAAAGGCAGCTCACGGGAAAATTTTTAGAGGGCTTACAGTTCTACAGGGTCAGAGTTCATGGCCGTCATAGCGGGTAACAAACATAAGTATGAGGCAGAGTTAACCTGGAATGGTAAGGGCTTTAGAAACCTCAAAGCTTCCCAGCAAACACACCTCCTTCAACAAGGCCACATCTTCTAATCCTTCCCAATGGAGTTACACAAGTTAGGGACCAAGCATTCAAATATGTGAACCTATTGGGGCTATTCTCATTCAAGCCACCACACAGTGGGAGTGGCTACTATGGACATGGGGATTTTCTTGGCCTCTTCAGCACAGTAAGGTGCAGACTCTGTGCCTGAGGTTGCCTTTGGCAGTTGTAGAAGCCAGATGCTACTCTTCCCAAGAAAGAAATTTAAAAATTTAAGTCCTCAGTATTGATCCCACTGGTGGGGCCAGGCCAACATCGTGGGAAGTAGCATTACACACCAGAGCCTAGTTTTCATGGTTTGGTTTTGTTTGAGACAGCTGGCCTGAAATTTCACTCAATAGACTCAGAGCTGTCTGCCTGTGAGTCCTGGGTTTAAAGGGTGCATAGTCCCACCCCACCCACGCTCAGTGTCTAGGAGATTATGTAGTTGGTACTCTGCCTCCGCTACCTCCCGCCAGTTTACCCTCACCCTGCTGTGTGGTGGTTTCCCCTGGACATTAGCTAAGGACTGGAAGCTTGTTTTTCATTGCTACTTAAGAGAGCTTTCAACTTCTTTCTCATTGTCTCTTCCTGTGTCCTGTTCCGCTGGACATACATAGCACATCTTACTTAACCTGTTTGTTGTTTCAGTGTCCCTAACACCATCCAGAAGAAACAGATTACAGAACGTACCACCTTTCTAGTAGCCACATTTAAAAGGTGAAACTAGATAGTGAATTTAATGTGTTGCTCTATATTTTTTAATTTTTTTTGGTTAGCATATTAAGAAATGGCTTTAAAATATGGAAAACTTAGCTGGGTGGTGGTGGTGCACACCTTTAATCCCAGCACTCGGGAGACAAAAACAGGCAGATCTCTGGGTTTGAAGCCAGCCTGGTCTACAGAGCAAGTTCCAGGACAGGCTACAGAGAAACCCAGTCTCAGCACCCCCACACATGTATGTGTAGGAAAATCTGGGAAAATGGTGTGATGTCCTTGCGGGGGGAGGGGGCTATGCTAACCCCTATCATTGCAATTTTAGTGGGCATGCCACTGAACAAACATGGGGTTAACATTGAGAAATGTTTTTGTTTAGCAGGTCTGGGATATTGGGATATAGCACACCAGTGAAGTGCTTGTTGGGCATGCTCAAGGCCCTGAGTTTAATCCCAGCACTACAAAGGAAAAAACAGTTTAAAACATCCAAAATCTGTGACATTCAACAGTAGTGTGTTGAGTATCCTTGTCGGTTCAGAGTGTGCATGTGCGCATGGGTGCTTTGAGGACAGTCTAGGATGGCTGTGCCTGTGCCCTTCTGTTAGGCATTGTCTGTCTAATTCAGCCTCTTGCTCGTTTTACAGGCCAAGGCAGAGGTGGCTGCAGGAGACCATCCCACTGACACAGAGATGAAGGGTGAGCCGAACAATATGGCAGGGAATCAGTCTCAAGTAGAGACGGAAGCCTAGCCTGCCTCTCTGCACCTGCCCACCCCTGCGGCTGCCTGCCTCCCTGCTCCCTTCCCTACTCCACCCTGTTAGTTTTGTAAAAACTGAAGAATTTTGAGTGAATTAGACCTTTATTTTTCTATCTGTTTGGATGATGGTTTTGGGGGAGGGAGAAGAGCAGGCTGGGGGTGAACTGGGGGATAGTTGTAGATGGTGTCAACCCTCTTTCCTTCCCCATTACACACGAGTGTGCACCCTTCCACACATAACGCATCAGAAGGTTAATTTATTTCTCCCTCCCTCTGTTAGCTCCATGTTTCAAGTGGTAGAAGTGGGTGTGATAGGGATGGGGTCTGATAAGAAGCCAGGGTGGGGAAGTTGTCCCCTGGGCAGACATTTTCCTCGTATCTTCCCTCTCTGGTTGTTACCCAAACCTGCAGTCTCCATGCAGATGCTAGGGGCATGGGGTAAACCACTGTGTGTCCATTGCCTCCCTTGCCCTGCTTTCCTGAGATGGTACCCCTGATAATCCTCTGGTATTTCGGTGATCACCTCTAGACAGCACCTTCCAGTATCTCCGCTCCTATTGGTTTCCCTCGTCCAGGTTGTCCTTGTCCCCATCCCCTCAGCCTCTTTAATGCACGCTGAAGGTCCAGGCACACCTCAAGTCCTGTGCTTGAGCAATAAAGTGGAAACAAAATGTGGGTGTCAGGCAACCCTTTATGTTGAGCTCTGGGAGAGGGAGTGGTGGGTACATGTGGGCAGGGGCAAAATGAATAATGTCACAACCCATTCCAACTTGAGTGCGCCATGTGATACAGACTGCAGCAAGGCAGGAAGCAGCCTCTCTGCACACCCTCAGCTCCAGTACAGACCACAGCTCCCAACTGGGCAGCACCTCACGAAGGATCCACATACACCCTCCCTACAGCAGCCCAGCATTAGAATGCTGGGGTTCCCCTCCCCCCACCACCAGTAGGAAGAAGAAAATAGAAACATCCAGAAAACTAGGACCAGGCCCAGTGGTTCTGATGCTGGGTTTTTCTACTGCCTCTGCCCTGGTAGACATCTTGGGTGTTTAGTTTGAGTGTTTTACCTGTATGTGTGTCTGTGGAGGCTAGAACAGGGCATTGGGTCCCCTGGGCCTGCAGTTAGACTTGAGTCACCAGGTGGGTGCCGGCCATCAAACCTGGCTCTTGTGCAAAAGCAGCAAGTGCACTTAACCCCTCGAGCCATCTCAGCTGCCCCAGACCTTAGCTTCCTATAGTGTACTGGCTCCCTGAGGTCAGATAGCTTTTATGGGAATTAAGGTACTGGTGAAGTATTTGTCCAATCTACCTTCTGTCTGTACAGGAACACACTGTACCTCCTTCAGAGCTCTTTTAACTGGTGGCCCTTGTCAGCCGCATTGAACTGCCTCTTGATAACCTACAGGTCAGAGCTCATTTTGCCTGTACTTTTCTCTGGGCTCCCTGGCAGTCTGCCTACCCACATGTTGTCTGCGTAGCTCTCAACGTTGTACAAGATGGATTTCCATGGAAAAGGTTTCAGGTCTTCAACATGTCTGGCACTGTGTCTGCTAGTTCCCTAGACTTGAGTTTTAAGTCTGGTTCCTTAGGTATTTCTGACATTGACTCTTGTCTGACTTTGTTCTCAGTGTGGCGATACCAAGCAAGCCCTTGCTAAATTGCCAAGTGCCTAACAGTGTAAGCTTTGACGTGTACCAATAAAATCTTTGATCCAGCTGTCTAAGAAAGGCATGGCCCATTTTACAGATGAGGAAATTCAACCAAAGCCTGGGAAACAGTTCAGTCACCAGACTGCTCTTACTGTTAAAGTAGAACCTGGGTTCGGACCCCAAGCACCCACGTTGAAAGCTGGGTGCTGGGCCTGGAGAGACCGTGTGGTAGTTAGGAGCACTTGCTTACTCTTACAGAGGTCCCAGGTTTGGTTCCCAGCCCCAACTCAGGCAGGCTGTAGCTGCTTGTAACTAGTTCTGAGACTTGAGTTCAGTACCCTCTTGGGATTTCCACAGGCCCTGCACACCATACACATACGGCACTCACATGTAAACTTAGACACTCTTTTAAAGATTTTATTTTATGGTGGCACACACCTTTAATCCCAACACTCAGGAGGCAAAGACAAGGAGACTGAGTTCAAGACCAGCCTAGTCTACATAGTGAGATAGTCTTTAAAAACGGGGGGGGGGGGGGGGGCAAGGGTTTATTTCCCCCAAACAAAATCTATTATGAGATCTGGTGTGCAGATGTACATGAAAGCAGAATGTTGTATACTTCATAAATAAAAAATTTAAAAAACTGTGTGTACAGTACCCATGGATGGCAAAAGAGGGTGTTAGATCTAACTAGAGTTAGAGCTGGTTGTGAGCCACCCACTATGTGGGTGGCAGGAACTGAACCCAGGTCCTCTTCAGGGGCAGCAAGTGCTCCCAACCTCCTGATCCAAGGGTTCCAGTAACCCCCTCCGACTTATGATGTCACCTGTACACACATGGCATACACTCACAGGCAATACACATGAAGTACTGGGCTGGATCCCCAGCACCACATGAACCTTAATGTGATGGTTTATATTTGTAATCCCAACACTTTGAATGTATAGGCAGAGGGATCAGGAGTTAAAGATTATCTTCAGCTACATAAGTTGAAGACCAACCTGAGATATTATGAGACCCTGTCTCAGAAAAAAAAAATTAAAAGTCAAATGTCTGCTTGAAGTCTAGTTCTCTGAACTAGCCCAAACAAAGTCATGTGATTCAGGGCAAGTCTTGAGCTTCTTTGTCTACAGTGCATGGTTAAAAAGCTAAATGCTGTTCATGTCTGGAAGCTGGAGATCCCAAGAGCTTAAAATTTGACTCCAGGGCGTTGGTGGCGCACGCCTTTAATGCCAGCACTCAGGAGGCAGAGGCAGGCGGATCTCTGAGTTTGAGGTCAGCCCGGTCTCCAGAGTGAGTGCCAGGATAGGCTCCAAAACTACACAGAGAAACCCTGTCTCGAAAAAAAACAAAACAACAATAAAAAACAGGCTTTTATCGCCGGGCGTTGGTGGCTCACGTCTTTAATCCCAGCACTCAGAAGGCAGAGGCAGGGGGATATCTGTGAGTTCGAGACCAGCATGGGCTACAAGAACTAGTTCCAGGACAGCCTCCAAAGCCACAGAGAAACCCTGTCTTGAAAATTCAAAAAAAAAAAAAAAAAATTTTTTTTTTACTTCACTTTTATAGAGCAAGAGAGATGGAAAAGTCCTAGCTTATTGTATCTTAACTGTCTAGTGAAGATGTTTTGATGAAGTGATTAAGTCTTTATGTCTAAAAATAATCCTGCTGCATCTTGAACTCCGCTGGGTCACTGCTCAGGTCTTGAAGACGCTTGGGCCTTGCTCACCCACAGGACAGCATTTATGCAGGGGATGTACTCAGAAAGTCCAGCAGCAACTGGTGTTCTGGGCTGTTCATGCACATTTCTAGGTAGTTCCTCTCTGTGCTGCCTAATTTCCAGTCTGTTCTGCCTATGAACAGTTACTGGTCCTTATGTATCTTCCTCCTCCATCTGCCCCTACATCATTGTTCGCCGCTGACCTCTCTAAAATGGCACTTTTACCCCACCTACGCTTCATAGCGTCTTGTCCCTCCGCCTTAAGAGGCTTCCCATCCCATTCAGGCTATAGAGTTCCTGCCATGGTGTCTCAAAGCCTACAAGGCCTGATGTCATTTGCTTGGTGCACCTGTTACATCCCCTGAGAGCACCTCAAGTAATGTGTGTCCCATTTCAACTGGAGAAAAGTATGGTAACACTAAGAACCAGAAAAAAATATATATTCTTACAAGAAACGCATTGCTAGGAAAAAAGGGATCCAGTCTTTTAGCATGTAGGGCTCAGCCTTATGTTCCACTGTGATGAACAATGTTCTCAAAGGATATGGGTGAGGAAATGGACAAGCATGCCTGTAACCCTGGAGCCAGGTGGTGTGCTCCTGGTTAAGTGAGAAACCATGCCTCAGTAAGGCGGAGAAGCCATTTCAAAATCAGCCTCTGGCTTTCACATATGTCCACATGGTCAAGCACACCCACACATCCAAGTGCACAGACATACAGCACACAATACTTAGTTTATATTCTTCCTTTGGGGACTTTGCTCTCTAACTCTATTTACTCTCTTAATTGACAAAAGACATGGCATCCAAGTTGTGACGTGTCATGAACTTCGCGGTGGTAACTACAAACAACCAGACACTGCAGCTGAGAATTCCAGAACAAGAAATCCAATGATGAGGGAGATGATTGTGGAGTATTGGTCAGGAGGGGAGTCAAGGACTTGGTCAGGCCAGGGCATACAGTGAGAGTAGTAGGCTGGTGTTCTTCCATTCTGCCCTAAGAATTTATTAATATGTGTATCTTACCTTACTCAAAAAATCCAAAACAATAAAGCACAACAAAACATAAATTGTTTATATTCAGTCACAAACACTTGGTTTTATTTTCTCCTTAAAACCTAATAGGAAGTTTAGGGGTTGAATTAGGCTGACAAGAGTAGGGAGCAGTTGGGTGGGCATACAACCCCTCCATGAATAACAATGAGTTTGTAGCACCAGGCACCCCTGTGTGACCCAGACCTTCCAATGAATATGGCCACCCCCAGAACTCTCCACCAATGACAGGAGCTGGTAACCATTTATCCCAGAATGGATCTGCAGTCCCCAGTACAATCCAGACTACCTCCTGCTTGCTCTTTTTCCTTTGTGTTTTCAGCTGTCAGATCCACTGAGACCAAATCCATCATTTTCCCTGTGGTAGGGTAGAAAGGTCTCACCCTCAGCCTTCTCCCTTATATGTTCTCTTCAACATAGAAAGTAAGACCATCTCTGATCCAACCACTGTGTCTTTGTTTCCATTGAGAAACCATATGTAAATCAGCCTGAGCTTGCACATTTAAAAGTTAAAAAAAAAAAAAAATGAGATAGCCTCATGTGTTTCAGGCTGGCCTCAGACTGTATGTAATTGAAGATAACCCCGGTGGTGGTGAACATCTTTGATCCCATCATGGGATCAAAAAGGCAGAGACAGGCAGATCTGAGTTTGAGGCCAGCCTGCTCTATAGAGCAAGTTCCAGGACAGGCTCCAAAGCTACATACACAGAGAAGCCCTGTTTCGGGAACAAAACAACCAGGAACTTCTGAACTACTGCCTCTCCCTCCTGAGTTCCAGGAAGGTTCTGTTGTTTATTTTGTTGTTTGTTTTGGTTTGGTGGTTTTTTGTTTGTTTGCTCAGGCTTTTGTTTTGTTTTGGAGACAGGGTCTTGTGTAACCAAAGCTGTTGTAGAACTAGTTCAAGGCTGACTTTGAAATCTTGATCGTCCCACCTGCTCCCACGTGCTGGAATTACAGGCAAGAACTACTACGTCTTAGTACTCCTGTTGTTTTAACGAGACACCTTAAAAGAATGGCAGGACCTGACTCAACAGGGGAAGTATCCAAAAGCAGCCTGTCATGAGAGTGAGGATCCCACCAAAACTAGAGTAAGACCCACTTGAAAAGAGGCAGCTTTGTGCTAGTTGTGGGGGGCCACACCATACAGCCAATCAGAATCCCAGCAGCCTTCACTTTGCTAAGAACTGCAACAGTGACTGAAAAACTCCAGCATTTTGGATCAAACATCTTGGTTTGAATCTCATGTCTACCACTTTCGGCCAAGTAACTCAATCTTGCAGAACGAGTTTTCCTCATCTGAAGAAACAATAGTTAAAGCTTACATAGTTGTGTTAATTTTATTAAATATGTGAGGTGTGCTTGGCAGTGGGTGTTTTTCACAAAGTACACAGCATAAAAATTTTTCATTATAATCCAGGATATATATGTAAGTATAAACAACTGAAACAAAGCTTTCACAAAATAGTACTTTTTTTTTTTTTTTTCTATTTTTCAAGACAGGGTTTCACTGTGTGGCTTTGGAGCCTGTCCTGGAACTAGCTCTTGTAGACCAGGCTGGTCTCAAACCCACAGAGCTCCGCCTATCTCTGCCTTCCAAGTGCTAGAATTAAAGGCGAGCGCCGCCACCGCCCAGCTTACTAGCATCTTTATGTATTCATATTTTTATATTTTGTGTGTGTGTGTGTGTTGCCTGTCTTGCTCCATGTGATCTGTGCATCACAAGGGTGGGTGCCTGGGGGAAGCCAGAAGAGTGCATCTGGCTTTGGATCCCCGGGAACTGGAATTCCTGATGGGTGCGAGCATCATGCCGGGGCTGTTTTGAGTTGATTCTGGGTCCTCTGTAAGAGCAGCAAGTACTCTTAATTGTTGAGCTATCTTTCTGGCCTCTTAAAACTTTTTTTTTTTGTGGGTTGCAATCCACCACGTTGTGTTGACAACTCCTATTGGGCAATTCCATAAAAAGAACTGTTGGGAAACATAAAATTGCTAATTATGACAGCTCTGATTATGACCTGCTGATGGTCCGACTGCCCAAGAGGAAAGAGTCAAACAAGCCCCAGGGCTCAGGTCGGCTCCAGGCACGGAAGGCCCGCCTCCTCCCCGAGGGTTAGGAGGAGAAAGCCGGAACCGGAGGCTCGAGCGGTGACGCAGACTTCCGGTTTGGTGGCCCTACCGCGCGCGGCTGTCGCGAGGACTGCGGGGGTCGCTTGACGCGGTGGCCCCGGCACCTCGGCCCTCCCAGAGCCATGAGGTCGGTTAGCTACGTGCAGCGCGTGGCGCTGGACTTCAGCGGGAGCCTCTTCCCGCACGCCATCTGCCTCGGAGACGTGGATAACGACGCGGTGAGTGCATGCGCACTGCGAGCGGCCGCGCTCGGGCGGGGTGGGGCGGGGGTGCGCGTGCGCACTGGAGGCAACGTGGCGGACGGACCGGGCCGTCTTGGTTGACAGTCTCGGTCCCCGAGCAAGACCGCGGGTGGCTTAGTTGGCCTGGAGCCTCTTGAACAGTTTTTGTTTTGTTTTGTTTTTTTGGATTGGGTTATTTTTTTTCGTAGTTTCAAATGTTACGTGCAGAATGTTTTGCCTGCATGGACGTCTACGTACCGCGTGTGCGCAGTGCTCGTGGGGTGACAGATAATTGTGAGCCCTATTCCTCCGGAAAAGCGGCCAGCGTCGTCACTGAGTCATCTCCCCGGCCTGTCGTTATCAGTAACTATAAAGGATAGAAACTCGGTCCTCTTGCCCAGTTGAGCGACTTGTCGCAGTGGGCACCGTGTAAAGCAGCGAGCGGTCAGCTTTCCTGCATTATTGCTTCCCCTAGCCGAAAGACCCTTTCAGAACATTTACCAGCCCGGAGGTGGTGGTGGCGGCGCCTTTAATCTCAGCACTCGGGAGGCAGAGGCAGGAGGATCTCTGTGAGTTTGAGGCCAGCCTGGTCTAGAGAGTGAGTGCCAGGATAGGCTGCAAAGCTACACAGAGAAACCCTGTGGTGTGTGTGTGGGAGCGGGGGACAACACTTTACCTTCCAAAGCTCCAGTGTGTTTGTTTGTTTGTTTTAGGAGACAGCATTTCTCTGTAACAGCCCTGGCTGTACTGGAACTGCTTTGTAGATCAGGCCTGGAACTCAGACATCCGCCTCCCAAGGGCTGGGCTTAAAGCCATACGCCACCGCCGCCTGGCACCCATAAATTCTATTTTAATGGCATCTCTCATCTACCTATGGCTTTGGCCCTCCCATCCTCTAAGCTACCACGCTCGCACACTTGCTGCTGTTGCCCTTGGCTCCCTCACTGGAAGCCACCTGTAGACTTCTCTGCTGCCGCCAATGGGCCGCAAGTACCCCACAATCAGTCTTGATCTGCATTGGGCTTCTCTAGGTCCCTACCCAGAATAGACTCATTTGTCTGGCGCCTTTGTAATGCTACCCCTTTGTTGAATTACAAAAGCAATTTCCACCAACTTTTTTCTCCCCTAGGCGGCTATTCCTTTTCTGGTCATTTAAATAAACAAATACAGAGAAAGCAGGTGAAACACATCGTTCTGTATCATGACACCCAGTTAAAACTCTGGAACGGTTAGTGCTAACAGTATCAGCAGCCCTCCTAATCCCAGTGCTGTATGTCCAGGGTTCAGCAGACCTACATAGGAAATATTTCAAGAGGAAACAAACAAAAAAAGAAATGGATCTGTACTGAGCATGTTCGGATTTCATTTATAGACACCATTACCTAAGCAGTACGGCATAGCAACTGCAGTCCTAATGAAGGGGATACTTTTGAGGAATGCATTGTTGGGTTACTTTGTAGTCCTAACATCATAGTGTGTGCTAACACTAACCTGAATGGTATTTATCCTAACAGATAGAGCCCTCCATTGACCAAAGTATATGGTAGCAGCCCGGGGATGTAGTTACCAAACACTTGCTAAAAACGAAAAAGCCCTGGATTGAATTCTTGGTACCCCAGAAATAAATACAAGAGAAAGAATTAAGCTGGGCATGGTGGCACACTTCATTTAGTCCCAGAATTTGGGAGGCAGAGGCAGGCAGATCTCTGAGTTCAAGGCCAGCCTGCTGGACACAGCAAGTTCCAGAACTACACAAAGAAACCCTGCCTCAGCAGGGGGGTGGTAATGAAAATGTCCAGGAGGTTATGTACAAACACTACTCTGTAGTTACAGAGTTCCTGTAACCATGCCCCATAGATACAGAGGTTCAACTGTAATTTATGCTGTCCTTATTTTTCTTACCTACATTGTAGATGCCATTACTTTAAATTTCATAAGGATAGGATTTGTGTGTGTGTTGACAAATGGTTGTGAGCTGACGTGTGGATACTGAGGACCAAAACTGGTTTTCTGCAAGAGCAGCAAGTGCTCTAAACCACCAAACCAATCTCTTCATCTCCCACACTCAATTCTAAAATTACCTTTACTTACTTATTTGAATGTGTGAGTGACAGGGCAAATGCACACACATGCCACAGTGCAGGTATAGAGGTCAAAGGACAACCTGCAGGAGTTAGTTCTCTCATCTACCATATAGATACTGCACAGGAATCAAACTCGGGTTTTTAATTTAAAATTGTTACTGAAGGAGCAAGTGTGAAAAACAAAATATTGTATGGTGGAGGTGTTGGTCCCAGTGCTATTTTTTATAGGGGCCGGTTGCTGGAGAGATGGCTCAGCAGTTAAGAGCACTGACTTCTTCCAGAGGATCCTGGTTCAACACCCAGCATCCTCATGGCAGCTAACAATTGTCTGTAACTCCAAGATCTGACTCCCTCACACAAACATACATACATGCAGGCGAAACACTAAAAAAAAAAGAAGAAGAAAGAAAAGAAAAAGCAAATGAGATTGTTTCATAGCTACCTGAAGAGCTTTGGGTGTTATTAGGGGGAAAGATGTAAGAAATTGAAAAAAAATTAAATTAAGTAGTTAGCAAATGATCAGCCATAGCACATGACTGTAGATAATAAACATTGTTATAGTCTGAGGGTCTGGCCCAGTGGTAGGGCACTTGTGTAGAATGTATGAGACCCAGCATTCTTTCCTCACCACCATTCCAAAAATGAAAATAGGGAAAAAAATTGCTGCTAAGCATGGTGGTACACATCTGTGTTTTCCGTACTCAGGAAAGATGAGAAGAGGCAGGAGGATCATTGCAAGTCTGTGGCCACCCTGATCTGCATAGCAAATTCCAGGACACCCCAGACTACATAGTGAAATGCTGTCTCAAAACTACCAATAAAACACAGTTTGTGTGCCGAGCAGTGGTGGTGCACACACCTTTAATTCCAGCACTTGGGAGGCAGAGACAGGTGGATCTCTTTGAGTTCAAGGACAGCCAGGGCTCCACAGAGAAACCCTGTCTCAGAGGGGAAAAAAGAAAGAAAGAAAGAAAGAAAGAAAGAAAGAAAGAAAGAAAGAAAGAAAGAAAGAAAAAACCCAAAAATCAAACATGGTTTGTAGTCCCCAAACGTTTGGGAGTTTTGAGAGTGGGGTCAAAGGCTGATTTCAGCCTGGTAAACCCTTAGCCTAAAGTTTTTTGAGGCTGATTTATTTCCTGCTGAGGTGGAGGGAGAAGCCAGGAATAAAACAAAACATGCTTTTGGACTGCTCACAGGAGCCTGGCTGGATGTGGCATAGCAAGCCTTTGGGAGGCTAACGTAGATCACAGAAAGATTACACCTGTCTTGTCAGCACTCCTGAGCATGGTGGACCTTCCCTCTGGGGTTCTAAGTGTCGCTGTGACCTGGTGGGGCCAGAGCTAAACTCTGTGGGAGCAGCAGATCCTGATGAGAAGCATCCGAGTGCTTAGAAGGCAGACAGCGCCCTGGAAATGGCCTCTCCCACATGTTGCCTCAAGCAGCCACCTGCCTGAGTCACATCTGCTTGCTCAGTGTGCCTACCGTGCTCTTTTGTGACTCTGTGTCTGTGGCTCTGGAAACTGGGAGGCTGGCTGGCCATTTTCTTCTATTTCTACTTTTTCTTGCTTTGATAAAGCCTCATAACATATCTACCCCAGGCTGGCCTGGATTTTCCAGTCCCCCTCTCCTTCCTCAACCTCTGGGTGTGGGGATTATAGGCATGCACACCATTGTAGGCTCCTGTCAGCATTTTATACAAGAAAAGTGTAAGCGGGGACAACGGATAAAGGCGCTTACCACCAAATCTAGTGATCTGAGTTTGATCTCTAGGACCCACATGGTAGAAGGAGAGCTGATTCTTACAAGTTGTTCCATACACATGCCACGTGGCACATGTGGTGCCTGCGTGCAAGAGTGAGCACATACATGCAAGGACACATACACAAGTAAATAACTGTAATTTTAAAAATACGTGTTTTGGAAGCACAAAGATAATTTTCTTAGAACGTAAAAGAAAGCCTCCTGGCAGGCAAGCTGTCGAGCATCAGTAGCTGCCTGAGGTGGAGAAGGGAAGGGATAAGGGAAAGGTCATGCCATTTTATCTGGGAACAAGGTCAGACACATGACCCACAAGCAGCTGCATGGTGGGGAGGGACTTTAGAGAAAAAGGAAGGAAGCCTGAAATGCCCTTTAAAAGCTCAGTGTTAGGGAATGCCTGCTCAGAGGACACAAAGAGGGAAGGAAAGCTGCACTTGCCTGAGTGATCCAGAAACGCAAGCCCACCCACAAGCCTACATGGGAGCGGCCCGTAGGTCTCCGCTTTAAAGTGTTTAAGAAAAGTGTAATCAAGGCTGGAGAGGTGGCTTGGTGGCTACTCTTCCAGAGAGCCCCAGTTTGAGTCCCAGTGCTTGGGGGCTCACAACTGTCTGTAACTCCAGTTCCAGGGGCTGTGTCACCCTCTTCTGACCTCTAAGGACACCAGGCATGCAGTTGGTGCGCAGACAGACAGACATGCGGGCAAATCACCCGTATACATAAAATATAAAATAAACCAATCTTTTAGGGAGAGAGAAGCCAGCTATGGTGGGGCACACCTTTAATCCCAGCACTCAGGAGGCAGAGGCGGGCCCATCTCTGTGAGTTCAAGGCCAGCCTGGTCTACAGACAGTTCTATAACATCAAGGGCTGTTACACAGAGAAACCTTGCCTCAAAAAAGAGAGAATGAGAGAAAGAGGTAAAAATAGTATCAGAAAAATCTGAATCCTCTATGGTATCTGCAAAAGTCCTCTCAGGTGGCTGCAATTGAGACCTCAGCTGTTGCAGGCTGTAAATAAGCAGACTGACCTGATACTCCTTTTTGTTTTTCTTTTTGTATAACCTTGCACAAAACTCCCATAACTATTAAAAATACATCTTTAGAAGTCAATTCATTATGTCAGTCCCAGTTGGTCTCAAACATCTTCTGTTGGGGGTGGTCTCACATAGCTGGCTCTGTGGGATCCATGTCACCACCTGAGGCTCCCTTACTGTTGTAGGTCTCTTAATCTAATTTTAACTTCCTCTCTGTGGGGGAGACATTGTCTTCTTCCCAAGAGAAGATTAGGAAATAGTAGAAGTGGGATTTGGGGCCACTGGGCTATCATGGTGAGCTCCCCAAATGGATTAGCAGTGATGGGGAGAGATTCCATGAAGGGACCCTCCTTCCCCCAGAGCGAGGATGCCGACACCAACATTACCTTCAGGCCCAGTCCCTCAGACAATTCCATTCCTCTGTGTTCCCATAATAAAAAAAAATCTTTAAAACTCAGGGGTCTTGTGAGAAGAGATGGGGTCCTGAGAACTGACTTTGTATTTTTGACCTCTGACAGATTAAGAAGTCTGAAGTAATATTTTTCCAGAGTTCACTGTTGGACCGTTTTCAAAACATATCCCATTTATAATGGACAAATGAGAGTAGCCAAGGCCAGGCTTTTGGGCAGAGAACTGTACAGATAGATCTACCTGAATCAGTGCTCTCATGTAGAACCTTCCCAATGCACACACACGGAAGTAAGTTCTGGGAAACCATGACTGTTGGTTCCAAAGGATTTGTTTGTTGTGGGTTCCTTTTGCTTCATCTGTGCCAGGCAACTGCTCTGCTACTGAGCCACCCCTAACTCCCAGGCAACCAGTCTCAGAAGATTTTTTTTTTTCTCCTGAAACTCGGTCTTGCTTTGTTACCTAGGCTGGCATGAACTTGCCATCCTCTGGCTTCAGTCTCCTGAGGGCTGGGATCACCATACCTCTCAACGTCTTTTTTATATAAAAGGCAGTATTCCAGGCTGGCCTTATATTTGCTATGTAACTTGAGAATGACCTCAAACTTCGACACCATGCCAGTGCTGAGATTCCTGGTGTGTGCCACAACACATGTTTTCTCTTGTTTTGAGACACTTTGTGGCCCTGACTGTCCTGAAACAGTCTAGAGACCAGACTGCCTTGAACTCACAGAGCTCCTCCAGCCTCTGCCTCTGGAGTACAGTGATCAGAGGGCATGCCACCACATCCAGCAACCATGCCTAGTTTTATGTAGTGCTGGGGATAGGAACCAAGGCCTCAAGCATTTTAGATAAAGCAAGTACCAACTGAGCTACACCTGCAGCCCATCAAAGGCTTTTTAATGATGTTCTGGTTTTTCCAGAAACAAGCTAATCTGATAAGGGGTTACTGGGGCCCAATGGAATCCTTTCCTAACATCTTTCTCTCTCATTTGCAGTTAAATGAACTGGTAGTGGGAGACACCAGTGGAAAACTGTCTGTGTATAAGAATGATGACAGCCGGCCCTGGCTCACCTGCTCCTGCCAGGGAATGGTCAGTATTCATCTTTGCCGCTCTTGAGAAGGAGCTGGGGTGCCTTTGTGTTATACTGCCAAGGAGTCCCACAGGGAATTCCCCAGCGACTCAGCCGAGTCACAGCTTCAGAATTTGTCTGTCTCAGGAAATTGCTCTCATCTGTCCCCCTCTCAACTCTCCCACAAGACTGTTATCTTAGTTTGCTTTCTGTTGCTGCGATAAAGGTCATGACCAAAAATAACCTGAGGAGGAAGGAACTTATTACAACTTACAGTTTATAGTCTCCTGAAGTCAGAAGTCAGAGCAGGATCTGAAGGCAGGAACCTGGAAGCATGAACTCGAGGAGAACACAGCTGTTTACAGGCCTGCTTTCTTATATAACCCAGGACCACCTGCCCAGAGCTGGGCCCTCCCACATCAGTCAGTAATCAAAAAATAGCCTACAAGCAATCTGATGGAGGCTTGTTCTCAATTGAGGTTTCTCTTCCCATATAGCTCTAGCTTGTGTCAATTTGACAGGAAAAAAAGAAGACAACTATATTTTCCTTTATGTCGTGGAATGAGCTCACTGCTTTACGGAGATTGCCCTCAGCTTGCCTAAGATTGTCTGATAGTATGCAAGTCATGCATTGGTTAACAGCAAGGAGAAATGCATTGTTGGTACTTCCATCATGAGAGGACCACCACAGCATTTATATAAGCTAAGAGAGCCACTGTGTTTACCTTAGTTTTATCAGGTGGGTCTTGCTTTTAGTTGAGGCTGGCTTTAAACTTCCGATTCTCCTGCCTCAGCTCCCCTGCCCACCCCCTTTTTTTGTATTTGCAGACAGAGTTTTTCTGTGTAACAGCCCTAGCTGTCCTAGAACTCCCTCTGTAGACGAGGCTGGCCTCAAACTCATAGAGCTCCACCTGCCTCTGCCTCCTGAGTGCTGAGACTAAAGGCGTGTGCCACCACCACCCAGCTATGTGATGTGCTGTTGACTAAAATGTCCTTATACATTATGTCTGTGTGATAAAAAATGGGGATGATAATTGGAATAATCTAGAAGTATGATAATCAAACTATTTTCCTGTTTGGTGGGTCTTTTGGGGGGATGCTTATGAGACAGATAGCCCTAGATAGCCAGGAATTCATGACAGTTCTTCCTTCTCAGCCTCCTGAATGCAGGGAGAGTACAGATGTAGACCACACAGCTAGATTTGTTCATTTTACCTAAGTTTGAATTTTTATCTACTTGGGTCTTCATATTGCTGTATGGATAAACCAAACTATATAATTCAATGCTTCTATTAATAAAGACTATTCATATAGGTCACATGACACAAGCGTTGGGTGATTAGGGAGAAATGGTCTCTTGGTGCCACCATCAGCCTCCCTTTCTCTCTTGCAGTTGACTTGCGTTGGGGTTGGAGATGTGTGTAACAAAGGAAAGGTAAGGACCAGGGGCATCTCGGGCTAGGGTAGATCTCCAAGTCCTTCCTCCATTGTGACTCCCTGGGAAAGTCAGCCCTGGCCCTTGAGATCTGCTTATCAGCCTCGCTCCCCAGCCCTAACCCTCTCCTGTACCTCTCTCTCCCCCAGAACCTGGTGGTGGCAGTCAGCGCAGAGGGCTGGCTTCACTTATTCGACCTGACATCCACCAAAGCTCTGGATGCTTCTGGGCACCATGAGACTCTTGGAGAGGAACAGCGTCCTGTCTTCAAGCAGCACATCCCAGCTAACACCAAGGTCATGCTGATCAGCGACATTGGTGGGTATGGGCAGCCCAGGAGTATACTGTCCATTTGTTGTGTGTTTACATTTTCTCTTTTTATTTTGTTTTACTTTGTTTCCATTTGTTATACAGTTGATGCATAGTTACTAAGCTCCTGTTATAAGCTAGGAATGGTTCTAGGTTCTAGAATTACAAAAGTGAATAAAGCAAACAAAAGAAATCATACCATCTCGGATCTTACTAGGAAGAGACAAAGTAAATTTTGTAAGAAAATTAAATAATGAGGCTGGGCATTTGGCTCAGGATTAGAAAGAACTATCCAGCGTGTACCAAGCCTGAGTTCAATCCCAGCCAAAAATCAGTCAATCAGTACTACATCAGAAGGCAGTAAGTGGTGTGAACAAAATAAATCACAGGGCTGAAGATATCAACGTAGAGACAGCAATTTTAAAGATTTATTTGTACTTAGTTATGTGTATATGTGTGTTGGGGGTGTGTGCACACAAGTGAAGGTGAAATCTCCTGTAGTTGGAGTTACAGGAAATTGTGAGCCACTTGGCATGGGTGTTAGGAACCTAAGGCAGATCCTTTGGAAGAGCAGCAGGTACTCTTAACTGCTAAGCCAGACGCAAAGGGACTTAAATGGAGTTGCCAGGGGTATTCTTGCTGGAAGGTGGCATTTGGTAAAGAGCTGAAAGTGGCAGGAGAGTGAGCTGTAGGGACATGAGGCTGCTGATTGGCCAGAAGCTGTCTAGGTAGTAGGTGTGTGAGATGGTCAAGGTGCAAACATGGACACAGGAAGCAGAGAGCAGAGATGCTGAGCTCTGCATAGCACTAGAGTGAGAAACCGAGCACAAGGCCAGGCAGGAATGGACAGTAACCACAGGGTGTGGTGAATGGCTCAGAAGACTGGACATGAAGCTTCACTCAACTGAAAGTGCCAGGAGTGTCACCTGTGGAAAGGTAGCCACAGACAAGGCTGGCCAGTCAGTCAGGTGTGCCTCCAAATCATTGACTCTGTGCCTGCAGATGGAGACGGGTGTTACGAGCTGGTGGTAGGATACACAGACCGTGTGGTACGGGCATTCCGCTGGGAAGAGATGGCTGAGGCGCCTGAACACCTGACAGGGCAGCTGGTGTCTCTCAAGAAGTGGATGCTGGAAGGTCAGGTGAGAAGCAGATTTTGGGGACCTAAGAACCTAGTAAACAGAAGAGGCCTCCCAGGGGAGGCTTCTGGAAAATGGGGCCTCTCTGGGAAGAAAGGATGTCCTTACTGAGAGAGAGCCAGGTCATTTTTAGGCAAGGTCCCAGTGGAGTTCTAGTAACAGGTATGAAGGGCAGAGAAGGATGAGTTCAGTGAGCCGTGTCTGGAGCCCGTGGTCTGTGGAGGGGATGGTGCCAGACAAGACTCTGAGCCTTAGAACTCCTCCTGTCCCCATCAAACTGGAGGGTAATTCTCAGAGGCCCTGCCCCTGAGTCCCCTGGTTCTGGTGGCAGAGTCTCCCTTGCTTCCTGCTCTGTCCCCCATTAAGACTCTGTTCCCTGGCACAGGTAGACAGTCTCTCTGTGACCCCGGGGCCTCTGGGTGTGCCTGAGCTGGTTGTGTCGCAGCCAGGATGTGCTTATGCAGTTCTACTATGTACCTGGAACAAGGACACGGGCTCCCCTCCTGCCTCTGAGGAGGCCACAGGAGACAGTAGGTAAGGGGGTGAGGTGGTGGCTCCATCAGAGTTAGGACAGGGTGACATGGTGGTGAGACAGGTCTGCAGGTGCCAGGGCTCCATCACTTGGCCCGATAGAGAAGACAGTCTAGGGACCGGGAGGCCTGGGCTTTAGCCTTTCAGCATCTGAGCATGGTGAACTGGTCTTTGCAGAGATCCCACCATTCAAATTCAGGTCTCGGGACTCCCGCCTGGCAGCCCCATCACTCCTCCTTCCATTTGCTGCATGAGTCAGAAAGGGTTCAGGGGTGGGCTTCAGAAATCAAAGCTCCTGCAGTGACGGTGGCTAAAGAGCCTGGAGAACTCGGTCCCTTGGCCTCCTTTACCCACAGGGAGACCCCAGCTGCCCGGGACATAGTGCTGCACCAGACATCTGGCCGGATCCACAACAAGAACGTTTCCACTCACCTAATTGGCAACATCAAGCAAGGTAAGGGAGGTTAGGAGCTGGCAGTTCTGGGAGAAAGGAGACCAGGGCCTTGTCCTTACTCCTGCCTTCATCCCCACACAGGCCATAACCCTGAAACTGGTAACTCGGGCCTCTTTGCACTGTGCACCCTAGATGGTGAGTAGTCCTGGGCAGGGTGAGATGGGTGTCTGCCTGAGGGGTCTGCTCATAGCCCACACACCACACACACATACAGCCCCACACTCTCTCTCTCTCACACACACACTCACACACACACACACACACACACACACACACATACAGCCCCACACTCACACACACACACACACACACACACACACACACACACCACCACCACCTCTCTTCCTGCAGGGACTCTGAAGCTGATGCAGGAAGCAGATAAGCTGTTGTGGTCTGTACAGGTGGATCACCAGCTCTTTGCCTTGGAGAAGCTGGATGTCACGGTGAGTGGGCTTTTCCCCTTTTCGGGGGTCACTCATTTATTTACTTTTATGTGTGTATGTTTTGCCTGCATATATGTCTATGTGGCACATGTGTGCCTGGTGCCCACATAGGCCAGAAAAGGACATCAGGTCCCCTAGAACTGCAGTTACAGATGGTTGTTAGCCACTTTGTGGGTGCTGGGAATCAAACACAGGTGCTCCAGAAGAAGAACCAGTGTTCTTAATCACTGAGCCATCATTCCAGTCCTATGAGAAGACATTTAAATGTAGCCATTCTCTCATCCCAGTCAACAGTGAGCCTTTATCTTAGTCCTGAAATGAGTGTGACCCTCTATTTACACTCAAGTGTGCCCTTACAACACACTTCTAATACTTCTCTTTGAGGCTGCTAGAAAATAATTTTCAAGCCTTTTAGCCAAAAATAATAGCTCTAAAGAAAGTGGGCTAGGGGCTGGAGAGATGGCGCAGCAGTTAAGAGTTCCTGAGTTCAATTCCCAACAACCACATGGTGGCTCACAACCACCTTGAATGAGATCTGGTGCCCTCTGCTGGCACGAAGGCACAAGACTGTATACATAATAAGTAAATACAATCTTAAAAAAAAAAAAAAGCGGGCTATAGGTCTAAAAGTGAGCTATTTGTCATGAATACAGCTGGGTCTTGTTTTTTTGTGGTTTTGGTTTTGTTTTCTTATCCATGAGTCTGTTTGATATCGCTATAGTCCTCAATTGACAAATGTACATTGGTTACACTGCAATGGTACATGCTGGATAGCCTTGGCTGGTAGAACAGACCTGTGCTTGGGTCTTGTCTCTGCCTGTGACCTTGGGCAAGTGACTTTATCCCTCTAAGAAACTTCCCAATATAAAACAGAATGGCTGGGTGGTGGTGGCACACGCCTTTAATACCAGCACTTGGGAGGCAGAAGCAGGTGAATCTCTTAGTTCAAGGCCAACCTGGTCTACAAACCGAGTTCCAGGACAGGCACTAAAGCTATGCAGAGAAGCCTTGTCTTGGTGGGGAAAAAAAACAAAACACAAAAACCTGAGAATAATGACTGCATCATAGTGTTGCTTAGAACATTAGGCAAAGTAGATTACCAATGGCGCTGTTGGACACTTGGCACATGGAAAAAATATCCCAGTTTTATAGTTTACCACCCAGTCAAGCTCATGGCCCTCTGTCTCTCACTGGCCCCACCCTTCCATCAGATCTTTTGTTCTTTTCTGATACAGGATCTTGCTGTGTGTGCTGGCTCTGCCCCTGCCTCTCAAATCCTGAGATTACCAGTGTATGACTATGTGTGTGACTAGGTCTCTTTCTAATATGGCCCCTAACCCTTCTGGTGCCCTGTCTTTGACCTTTTCAGGGCAATGGGCTTGAGGAGGTGGTAGCATGTGCCTGGGATGGACAGACGTATATCATTGATCACAACCGCACCGTGGTCCGCTTCCAAGTGGATGAAAATATCCGAGCCTTCTGTGCAGGTGGGACAGCGGCCTCTAAGCTCAGCTATTCCAGCTTAGTAAATGTTCTGGAAAGGACTGACTCATTTCCATTCCATGTCGCCGCTGATAGGCGTCTTCATTCATGAATGGGTTCCTCAGCTCTGTGGCAGTGGATGATACCACACTGCCATCTTGACAGCTTTTTTTTTTTTAATTTGTGGGGCACTTTATTTTTATGTGAGTGTTTGCCTTCATGTTTATGTAACATGTCTGTGCAGTGCCTACAGAAGCCAGAAGGGGGCATCACATCCCCAGAACTGGAGTTTACAGTCAGTTGGGTGTTAGGAATTGAACCTGGTCTTCTGAAAGAGCAGCCAGTGTACCGAGCCATCCTTCCAGCCTCATTAAGGCTGTTTGGAATCAGACATAAAGCACAGTGAGGGGCTCCATCTCTAAATATGCAAAGAATGGGATGACTGTGGGAAGATGTTTCCAGCTGAGCATGCTAGCTAAAGAAAGTGCTTCCAGAGTATTCTCTGTGACTCTAAACTGGGGACTGTGGAAAGCTGCAGTAGCTATTTGAGTGACAGGGATATATCTGGCTACTAGCTTGGTGTAGAGCCTTGGCTGGCATGTACAAAGTTGTGGGCCCAGTCTCCAGGACCCCAAAATGCATGGAAAAAGCTGGAAAACACCCCAGCTTTGGAAGAAAGAAACAAGCCAAGAGAAGCCTTTCTCTCTGGTTGTTTTGTTAACCTGCCCCTTGGATTAACAGGGCTCTCTCTCTTTGCTCCAGAATACCAGTAAGATGAGAATACCTACAAATACATCTTTTGGGGTGCTGACTGTGTCTTTTCCATATCTAGGATGTACTGCACGTTTTACCATCTTACGTATAATATATACTGAGTTCTTAACAGAAGAAATAGGAAAGGGGCCTTTGTTGATGGACATCTGTGGGGGGTTAATATTGCTTCCTCTGGTGTCTTCTTGTCCTTGCCCTCCTCCCACCACCAGGACTAAGTCTTGACGTTTGTCTTCTTGCCCCCCACTCCCAGGCCAGTATGCCTGCAAAGAGGGCCGCAACAGCCCCTGCCTGGTGTATGTCACTTTCAACCAGAAGATCTATGTGTACTGGGATGTTGTGCTGGAGCGCATGGCGTCCACTAACCTGCTGAAGCTGCTGGAGGCTGAGCCTGAGTACCACAGCCTCCTGCAGGAGCTGCATGTAGGTGAGTGTCAGCAAAGCCAGTGGCCCTGCGCCCGGAGGCCCAGCAGCCTCTCACCAGTCTCTCCTTGACCGGCAGATCCCGAGGATCTCCCTGCAGTCCGTGCCCTGCTTCACCAGACACTCTACCATCCGGACCAGACACCACAGTGTGCCCCCTCCAGCTCCCAGGACCCCACCTAGCTGGGCTTGGCCACCTAGCTGCTGAAGGATCCTACTGAACCCCCACCCTCCCCCAGAGTGATCCATGATCTTGGCAGGATGGGGAATGTCTATTACAGAGGAGCAGGACCTGATTCTCGGCATGGAAGGACAGTGGCGCCCCTGAGAGCCTTTGATGAATGCCCCGTGGTCGCTGCCTGCATCCCAGGATCCCAGGATCCCAGTCTTGTCAATCACCCAGGTCCCTGTGCTTTCCTCCTCTTCTCCTACTCTCACTGCAGAAAACAGACTTGTTTGTGAGAAGAGGCAGCAAACCTTTTCCATGGTGCCAGCACCTGAAAGGACAGGGGCTTCAGGCCTGAGGGACTAGGGGAGCGGTGGAGGTGAGCCCCATCCTCCCTCTCCTGCTGAGGGCCGACTTCCGAAGCATAGCTCCCGGCAGCTGACATCATAATTACTGCAGGAACGGCCGAGTGTTTGTTTAAGAGCATTTTCCTGTCTCATCTTCCTGTGTTCTTCCATTTGCTGAAGCAACTAGGTCAGGGCTTTCTCATTCTCTCTCTCTCTCTCTCTCTCTCTCTCTGTGTGTGTGTGTGTGTGTGTGTGTCTGCGATTTGGTGGTGGTGGGTGTTGGTTTTTGTTTGTCGTTTTGTTTGTGCATGTGTGTCTGTGCAGAGGTGGAGCCCAGGGCCTTGCACATGCTAGCCAAGCACTCTGCTATTCAGTACTTGGGAGGAAGGTCCTAAATCCAGCGCCAACCAAGGCTCCATAGTGGGGTTGAGACCAGCATGGGTCACATTTGGAGATCTTATCTTAAAAGCTCAAACAAAAAAGACATTAACAATCTAGTGCAAGTTTATGATCTAGACTATAATAATTAGAGTTATATAACTGAACCAGGCATGGTGGCACACACCTATCATCCCAGCACTCAGATGATAGAGGCAGGTGGATCTCTGTGAGTTCAAAGCAGCCTGGTCTACATAGTGAGTTTCAGACCAACCATAGTAAGACCCTGCGTTAAAAATTATAGTTTAAGCCACTTATGTTTATTTGCTGTAAGTATTTTTCCAGTTATAGGTGAGAAGCCTTTGAAGGACTGTGGCTAGGGTTTGTGTTTGCTGATACATTTTCCCATGTACACATGTATGGAGGCCAAAAGAGGATGTCGCGTGTCCTGCATTCCTTCCCTCTACTTTATTCCCTTGAGACAGGGTCTGTCACTGAGCCTGAGCTTGCTGCTTCATATAGCCGATGATCAGTAAGACAAGGGGATCTACCTGTGTCTGCACCACACAGTGCTGGGGTTACTAGCATCTGAGCAGTATCTTTTTTTTTTTTTTTTTTTTTCAAGACAGGGTTTCTCTATGTAGCTTTGGAAGCCTATCCTGGCACTTGCGGCACTTGCTCTGGAGACCAGGCTGTCCTCGAACTCACAGCGATCCGCCTGCCTCTGCCTCTGCCTCCTGAGTGCAGGGATTAAAGACATGTGCCACCAACACCCGGCTGAGCAGCATCTTTTGTTTTGTTTTGTTTTGTTTTGTTTGTTTTTCGAGACAGGGTTTCTCTGTGGCTTTGGAGGCTGTCCTGGAACTAGCTCTTGTAGACCAGGTTGGTCTCGAACTCAAAAACATCCACTGCCTCTGCCTCCCAAGTGCTGGGATTAAAGGCATGCGCCACTAAGCCTGGCTTTTTTGGGGGGAAGGGGAGCAGCATCTTTTTCTATATATAATTTATTTTTAGTTTATGTTCATTGATGTTTTGCTTGCATGTGTGTCAGTGTAAGGGTGTCAGAAGCCTTGGAACTGGAGTTACAGACAGATGTGAGCTGCTATGTAGTTGCTGGGAATTGAACCCTGTAACATGGTGCTGGGGCTTGAATTCAGGTTCTCATGCTTGTGTGGCAAGTGTTCTTCCCAACTAAGCCATCTCCCCAGCCCTCAGGGCTTTTGAACTAAATGAAATGGAGTAAGATAAATGGTGATGTCAGAGTCCTTTGCTCCCAGTGGAGTTAAATATTGGTTTGTTGCAATTGCATGTGTTTTTGTGCAGCACATAACAGTGTAAAATGTACTTCACAAGCCTGTGGTCCAACTTGGGAGAGGGACTCCAATCACACTTTCCCTGTGGGTCTGAGGCCAGAGGTACTGTGGGCACCTGGAGGTAAAGAGGAAGAGACCAGAGAAGAACATGGCTTAGAGAAACAGTGTTTATTCAAATACAGAAGCAGGCTAAGGGCCTGCCCTGGGCCAGGTCTATCATTACAGGAGCAGTAGGAGGCAGACTGGGGAGGAAGCATAGGTCTCGAAGCAAGGTGATGAGGGAGTCGGAATTGAGAGCAGGTACCATGGCACTTAGGCTCAGCCAGCCCGCTCTTGAGCGTGAAGAAAGTGAGACTGTATCCTGGTTCCTCTTTGGTGTACCCTAGGCTTAGTATTTGGTTCCCATGTAAGGGACCCAGTTTCCTCGTTTGGGTTAAATATGTCATTGTCTCTTCCCTAACCATGATTTGAGAGTCAGCCCAGCCAGAAAGACGCTCAGACATCTGCAGCCCAGAAGGGGTCATAACTAAAAGCCTTCTCAGCTCGGGGACTGTGCCTTCCTAGACTAACAGTCCCACTTACTTGTCACTCCCACCCAACTATAAGCAGATAGGTGCAGGATCAAGGGGCAGGTCGCAGGAGGGCTGGCACGCAGGCTGGGAATCTGGTTGAGACAGATAAGCCCTAGAGGTTGGAGATATAGGTGGGGTAAGGGCAGGAAAGGAGTGCCTGGGGTGGGCCTCAGGCAGGTGCAGGCAGCAGGTGACCTTGACCCCCTATGGCCAGGACAAAGTCTAGAGCCCATTTTCTGTAGATCCTTTTCTGTAACTGACTTGGCTGTTCTCTCAGGGAGGGATAAGAGAGAATGGGGAAGCCGGGGCCTTGGAGTCATAGATACTCTCAGTAGGAACTCCTGGGACAGAGGGCAGCTATGGAGAAGCAGAGACGGGGTGGCAACTGCAGGATCAGGGTGGTGAGAAAAAAGTAATGCAGTGGTCTCCAGGTGCCCTGTCAGGAAATGTCCCCCTCCACACCACTCTTCCCCTAAGGCACAGTGTGGCCCTGGGGACTGGCTGAGACAGTGGTCACTGGCCAGGCTCTTGATACAGAGGCAGGAAGGGCAGCTCCGAGAAGGGGGCTTTCAGCCGAAGCACTCCACGGTCCAGGTCAATGCAGCACTGCCATGGGGACCCCGGATTTGTGGTCACCTCCCTGCCAGCTCACATCTGCTCCCCTTCCTTCTGCCTCCCCTTGCTGCCATGCCCCTGCCCCTTCAGGGAGGGAACCCGCTCTCCTGATTTTACTTTTGGGGCTAATTAAACAAGTTCCAAGTTTCACACCTCTCCGTCTTTCTCACCAGCCTGCTCTGGGCTTCCACCCTGACCCTTCCATCTCTCCTAGCATTTTGGGTCAGGCTCAAGCATGAATGAATACCTTACCTTGAGGGAAAGCAGAGTCTGCAGTCCCAGGCAAAATTCAGGGCTGTCCACATCTGCAGGAACCATTGGAAAATGAGATTGCATCTGTGACCACTGATGCCCTCCTCTGAACACGCGCCCATTTCCTTCCCAGTCCACCCATGAAGTTGAGAACAGCAGAGTGGCTAATCTGAGCATCTTGGGATGGTGCGCCGAAAACCTCTACCTTTGTCCCCCACAGCAGAGGTGAGAGGCTGGAGGACTCACCCACCACTTGGGCCGAGCATGCCACAGTCTCCTGCCCCAACTCTAGCTCCAGCTCTTCCACCTGACTTGGTGGCCCCGGTGCCAGGTCCCCACCTGGGGCTTTTGGGACTCTCTTCCCTAACCTGTGGTTAGAAAGCAAGGGTTATAGTCTCCACAGTCCCTGATTCCAGACCCCCACAATTAAAAAGCCAATACTAATCTATGTTCCCTTCCAGTCCCAGGGAGGCTTAATCTTTTCCTGCCAAGGCTGCCTGACCAACCTACCCTGCTTTTAAAAACATAATGTGTGCTGAAATATAGTTTGTCTGCCATCAAGTTCACTCTTGGTTGTGGGTTTTGTTTGGGTTGTTGGGGGAAGGCTGTGCTTTTTTTTTTTTTTTTTTAAACAGTCTTGTGGCGCTTAAGCTGTCTCAGACATCTTATGTAGCCAAGACTGGCCTGGGGTACCTATTTCTCCCTTACCCCCAGATGTTAGATTTATAGGCTTGAGTCTAAGGCCCAGCAAAATTCCCTCTATAATATGCAGTTCAGAGCTAGGCATTGTGTCACACACCTTTAGTCCTAGCACTTGGGAGGCAGAGGCACACAGATCTCTTGAGTTTTAGGCCAGTCTACACAGTGAGACCTGGTCTCAAAAAACAAAGTGTGCAACTCAACAGTATTCAGTAGTATGTCAGAGTGCAATCATCTTCATACTTTGAAGATAATTCATCACCCCCAAAGAAACTGCATCCTAAACCCAAGTGTGGCCTGTCATCTCCACACAAACCCACACGAAGGAGGCAGAGGCAGAAGGCTGTTGAATTTGAGTCTGGGCTACATAGTGAGACCTTGTATCAAAAAAAAAAAAAAAAAAGGAAGGGAAACCGCAAGCCCTGACCACTGGTTTAGGCTGCACTCTTACCCCAGGCGCCTGAGGCAGCCAGTAGATATCTGATTGTGCTGAGTCCCTGTGTCCACCGCCACTCGAAGCATCTGGTCCTGGCACTAAAAATTAAAGAGTGTGATGTTGGGGATGTCCTTCTGCATATATGTTTCTTATTAGTTGACTAATAAAACAATGTTTGGCCAATAGAGGCAGGAAGAGAGGAGGAGAATTCTGAGAAAGGCAGGCAGAGGGAGACTAAGAAGAGACACCATGGAGAGACGGGGAGGATAGGCTGCGCCAGGCATTCTCTGGTCAGATAAGGCCATGTAGAAATACATAGATTAGTACTTACGGGTTAATACTTAAGACAGAGCTAGCCAATAAGTCCTAGCCATCGGCCAACAGTTTTATGTTAAGTATAAGTCTCTGTGTGCTTATTTGGGCTTGAGAAGGGCTGCGGGACCTGGTGGGAAAGAAACCTCCGGCAATAGTGTTGATGAGTCCCCAATGAGGGGCCTGGGTTTGACCCCCTCGACTTCCCTTTCACAGATGGGCAAAGGGAATGAACAAGTTTTCAAAAGTGAAACTGACTCGCCCAAAAGGGAATCAAAGAAGTTGTATTCTACATGGAGAGTCCACTAAGTTAAGAAAGATCTGGGCCAGAATGGCAGTCTTATTTGTTTAGAGGAATACATGGAGGTTGAGGGCCACCTCCTCCTGATCAAAGAGCTCTAGGTCAAGAGGCGAAGAAGACAAAGCTCTTCGTCACACACTCAAATTTGGGTGACTGTGAGTGGAAGCAGGAAGACAAGTTCACTGCCTTGGGATACTGACAAGCATCAGGCGAACATGTGGATACATACACATGAGGAAGTTGGGTTTTTTAAAATTATTTAAATTTGCTTTAGTGCATGTGTGTGAAAGAGCCTGGAACTGGGGTTACAGTTGTGAGCTGCCATGTGGTTGCTGGGAATTGAACCCGGGTCCTCTGGAAGAGCAGCCAGTGCTCTTGACCACTGAGCCATCTCTCCAGCCCTTTTTTTCTTTCTTTTCTTTTTTTAAAGATTTATTTATTATCTATACAGTGTCCTGTCTGCACGTATCCCTGCAGGCCAGAAGAGGGCGCCAGGTCTGAATACAGATGGTTGTGAGCCACCATGTGGTTGCTGGGAATTGAATTCAGGTCCTCTGGAAGAGCAGATAGTGCTCTTAACTGCTGAGCCATCTCTCTAGCCCACGGAAATAGTTTTCTTGTTCCAAACATTTATTGAGCATCTATATAAGATGTATGGCTAATGGATACTTTAATGAGCACCATCACTCAGCAGTGTAAAAGAGATAAAATATGCCGCCACTCTGTAAGGTCTTTAGAAGGGTCATGGACTGAGTGCCTCAGAGCTGGGAGAGGAAGGGAGCTGTTCCCTGCTGGACAGAGACAAGCTTTCAAGGAGGAGGCAGCATCTGAGCCGGGCCTCAAGAAATAAGACATGGAGCCGGGCATTGGTGGCGCACGCCTTTAATCCCAGCACTCGGGAGGCAGAGGCAGGCGGATCTGAGTGAGTTCGAGGCCAGCCTGGTCTCCAGAACGAGTGCCAGGATAGGCTCTAAAGCTACACAGAGAAAAACCCTGTCTCGAAAAACCAAAACAAAAAAAAAAAAAAAAAAAAAAAAAGAAAAGAAAGAAAGAAAGAAGACATGGACAAGGGGTGGCTGGAGGTTAGGAAGTAAGAATGGGCAGTGGGTATTTATTGGGATGTTCCACTAGCAAGTAGGTGCTCCAGAGATGAGCCTTGGGAATGCAGAGATGGCTCAGTGGTTAAGAGTGTTTGCCAGTCTCCCAGAGGACCTGAGTTCAGTCCCTAGGTTGGGCAGCTCACAACTGCCTGCAACTCCAGCTCTAAGAGATCCAACAGCCTCTCTGGCCACTGTGCTCACACACACACATGGCATCACAAACACATACACATAAAAAGTTAAAAGTCGCCAGGCACACGCCTTTAATCCCAGCACTCGAAAGTCAGAGGCAGGTGGAAAGTTCGAGGCCAGCCTGGTCTCCAGAGTGAGTGCCAGGATAGGCTCCAAAGCTACACAGAGAAACCCTGTCTCGAAAAACCAAAACAAAAAGTTAAAAGTCTAAGATTTTTCACCTTGAAACATGAGCCCATTGTACTCACGCACACCTTCCCCTGCAAGTGAGTAAAGGATCTGCACATTTAAATCTACTTTGATGAAAGCATGGCGCTAGCACATTTAAATCTACTTTGATGAAAGCATGGGAGCATAGTACTGCTGACTGATGACATCTCACAGAGAAGACGGGCGAGACTGACAGGAAAGCGGATGCAGGGCCAGAAAAGGAGAGAAATGACTTCTCTCCATCTTTTGATCGCCAAGGCAGTGAGCAGGCTCAGCAGGCAAGTGAAAGATCCCCGGAAGACCTCTTACCTTGCAGTTGACAAGAAGAGCTGGAACCTGTGTCCCACTGGTCCTGCTGCTATCATGGCCATGGATCAGTGCCTGCACCAGGGGAGACTCCCCCTGAAGCCGCCTCTGGTTTCCCTCCACCAGGCGTCTTTGGATCACGCTGTGTGGCTGCTGGCTCCATCACAAAAACAGTGAAAGCAGATCTAAGCCCAAGACCCAGGCTACTTGCTTCCCCACCATATGCCTTGCAAACCACGGGATTCTTGCCCCCCGCTCTACCCCAGACCAGAGGAGCAGTAAGAAAATAGCTGAGGGATGGCTCAGGAGGTAGGAGCACTGGCTGCCATGCTAAAGGACCTGGGTTCAATTCCTAGCACCTAATCCCAGTATGGACCAAGTCTTGCATTGGTAGAATGGGTTTTCATCCCATCACTTGGGAAGGGAAGGGAAGAAAATCAGGACTTCAAGTACCTCAGCTACGTGGTATCTTTGAAACCAGCAAGGCTTGAGTGGCTCAAAGGGATTTTTTTTTTTAAAGATATAAGCAGAACCGGGCGTTGGTGGAAGCAGAACCGGGGCGCTTGCCTTTAATCCCAGCACTCGGAAGGAAGAGGCAGGCGGATCTCCAGCCTGGTCTCCAGAGCAAGTGCTAGGATAGGCTCCAAAGCTACACAGAGAAACCCTGTAGTGAAAAAAACCAACCAAACAAAAAGAGACAGAGAGAGAGAGCAGGAAGGAGGGAGAGAGAGATGGAGATAGATAGATAGATGGATGGATGGATAAATAGATAGATATAGATACAATTTTATGTGCATGAGTGTTTAGCCTATATGAATATCTGTGACTGTATGCATGTCTGTGCCTGTAAAGTCCAGAAGAGGACATCAGATCCCCTAGAACTGGAATTCCACTGCCATGTGTGTGCTCAAAATAAAACCTGTGTCCTGTGGAAAAGTGCTCTTAACTTGTGAGCCATCTCTCCTGCCCTAAACCAATAGCTTTAATGACATCCTAAAGCCTGTCTAAATACATAGCCTCAGACCTCCTAAATCAAGAATTTTGTTTTTGTTGTTTCCTTGTGCAAGGGTTTAAACCCAGGACCTTGTACATGCCTGGCAAATGCTCTACCATTTAGCTTCTCCTAGCCTGACTCTTGGTTTTATTTGTTTTACGACAGGATCTTCCTCTGTAGCCGGGGCTGACCGGGAACTCACTCTGTAGACCAAGCTGGCCTTGAACTCATAGAGATCCACCTGCTTCTGCCTCCCAAGATCTAGGATTAATGGCTTATGCCATCAAGCCCAGCCCAGCCTCTAAGTTTGTTTCAATAAGACTCCTGTACATTCAGGTGTGAGAAATGCTTAGGTTAAATATAAAACAACTGTACAAGCCAGATGTGGTAGTGTGTACCGACACATTTCCGATGTTCAGAAGGCAGAGGCAGGAGAATAGTCATGAGTTCAAGGTTACTCTAAGCTACGTTTAAAAAAAAAAGAAAGTAATTGGTGTTGGGGGTACACACCTTTGATCTCAGCACTCAGGAGGCAGAGAGAGGTGAATGTCTGTGAGTTCAAGGTCAGCCTGGCCTACAGAGTAAGACCCTATCTTGAAAAAAAAATTGTTATTCTCCTGTATAAAATACATCACACATACACACCTGGTATAGTGATAGACTGTTTTTGTTTGTTTGTTGTTTTGTTTGTTTGCTTGCTTTGGTGTTTGTTCATTTGTTTTGAGACAAGGTCTCTCTACGTAGCTACCCTTGACTGTCTGGGAATTTGCTATATGGACCAAGCTGGCTTTGAACTCACAGAGATCTACTTTAATTTTCCTCCCAAGTGTTGATATTAAAGGTGTGAACCACTATGCCCCATTGTGTATTTTCTAAACTGACCCCTAAATAACCCGGCTGCTGTCTGTCTGCATAGCCACCACACACGGCTTTCCTGCTTCAGTGACACTCCTGTGCCTGGCCAGCCCGGTTCACCCCAGGCTCACCCCTGCTCACCTCTCTGCTGGAAACTCCTCCTAGGGGTTTTCACTAGGCCAGTCTGAATGCACAGCTACTCATGTTTAATGACTAGAAGGGCCTTGCTTCTAACTCTGACTCCACCTGCAGGACTGGCCTCTGGGTTATTCTGCCCTCTCTCTTCCTTCCTCTCATAGCTCATTTGGTCATGATTCTCACAGATGTTATTTTTGGATTTCACCCCACCGAAGCCTGGGAAGGCCTTCAAATCAGATCTGTCTTGTTCATCTTTCTGTCCCAGGGCCCATTTCTGAAAATAGGTGCCTCCTTGACTGGAGGATTTGGGGTGGCGCAGTCATAGAAAACTTGCCTAGTATGCACAAGGACCCATCCCCAGTACTACAAATAAAGCAAAAGGAAAAAGTCACAAAATAAAATGGTTGGTTTTAGTCTAGTATGGCAGCACACTTCTATAGCCACAGCATTCAGGAGTCAGAGGCAGGAAGATCACCACCAAGATGAGGTCAGCCTGGTCTACTTAGTTCATGCTAGCCTGGGTTATATAGTGAGACCTATTTCAAAAATAAAATACAATTGTGTTGTTTATAAACTCAAAAGAAACTGTTGTAAGCCTGCCTGGACTACGTAGCAAACTCAGGCCAACAGGACTACATAGTGAGACTCTGAGAAAATAAAAAAAGTTTCCTGGAGAATGGCTATAGCCTCCCAGGCTCCACACACTCCTCCACCTGACCCTGGGAGCCTGGGATTGTTTTTCCACCGTTGGCCTCATGAGACCCTGGCAGCAAGTTGCTAGCTCTGGGAAAGTGCAGGCAGCTCAGGGCCCAAGCAGTTCCCATGCCCTTCTCTCCTCTGTGACTCCATGCTCCTCACTGTTGGAAAGTGTGTCCCAGAGCTGTGCCAAGCAAGGAGACAGGGCTCCCAGAGTGTTGCTTCTTCATCCCCAAAGTCATGGGACCTACATGCTGTAGGTCTGTGCAGGTGGCAAGTCAAAGGGGAAAGGTGAGAAGCCCTGACATCAAAAGGCTCAACCAGCTAGTCTGAGGTGGCAGCGTCCACAGGGCAACTTCTGGGCAAGACAGCTGTAGGATTATACAGAGAAGCACAAGGCCTAAACCCCTGGGCACCAAAAAACCTGCTTTCCTGCCCCCCCCCCATTCCTCAGCTTTCTCCTGTGTTCTTTGGGGACGCTGGGATTGGGTTAGGGGACTGCTGGAGGGAAAACTCAGGCGAGGAGTAGGACAGAAAGGTAAAGCCAGGTTAGTCCAAGCAGCAGAGGGAAGTGTTTGCCACCAGGGAGAAGTGGCTCCCACAGAATGGAATTCTGTATTCTCTGGACCCTCCAGAATTCACGCTAACTCAAAAGCTATGTGGAATCATAGCTAGAAGATTCCCGATGTCATTTCCCTCGTGTCTCTATTAGCCAAGCAATGTCCCAGTGCTAGGGATGAAGAAGCCCAAGTAACTCTCTCCTTACCAGATGCTCACAACTTTATCCATTTCTAGCAGATGGAGAAACCAAGGCACAGAGTCGTCATAGAGTCATAACTTTCCGAAGTGCAGTCAGAATTAGGTTCCAAACAGGGTGGCTCCAAAGCTCCCCCCTTTTTGGGGTGGGGTGTTTCCATACAGTGTTTCTCTGTGTGTCTTTGGAGCCTGTCCTGGAACTCGCTCTGTAGACCAGACTGGCTTTGAACTCACAGAGATCCGCCTGCCTCTGCCTCTCAAGTGCTGGCATTAAAGGCGTGCGCCACCAACACCCAGCTAAAGTCCATATTCTTAACCATGATATCTCTGGGGGCAAAGACTGCATGCAGCTGACCCTGAGCCCCTCAACTCCTCACAGGTAGCCTCAGACTCCATTCCCTCTGGAACCAGAATTGCTGCTGTGGTTTAGAAGGAAAGGACAGGAAGACACAGACATGGAGACTGACGGTCCATCCAGGTCAGAGCCATGTGAACCCCGATTGCCAGAAGCCCCTCAACATGTTGATGCTGGGAAAGGGTAAAAAAAGGGGGTGGAGCAGGTGTGAGGAATGAGGCAGATTCATAGGCAGCTTGGAGGGAATCTAGAAGCAGGGAGTTATAGCCCTAAGCTGACTGAGGAATCCTCCAGGCCTTGCTGTCCTCATATGCCCATTCCACAGGATTCCCAGGTCTTGTAGGCTTCTACCCAGCAGCATAGGATGAGACTTGGGGGAAAACAGTGGAAGCCAAGTTATGAGCCCAGGGACCCTCAGTACCACCAGACCAAGAAACATGCCCAATGGAGGATCTGGGAAGGGCTGGGGTGAGGTGCAAGTTGGTCGAAGCACCTCTCGCGTCTCAACAGGAGACAGGAATCTGAAGGCCGAGGCTCTACCCTCTATACCACCTCCCCACGCCCCAGACAGGATATGGAGAAGACAGAACCGGTCAGGGGCCTCACCAGGTCCTTGGAGGTGCCGAGCCTCTTGAGGCTGTCCAGGGGTAGCAGGTCAGCCGAGTCCTTGTGCAAGAACTGGGTGGCCTGTTTGAGCCGGCGCTGCTGGCTCAGGTGGGCTCGGTCCCGAAGCGAGGCTTCCTGGCCTCTCCTGGAGTCTCCCTCGTCTCTCCTGGCCTCCTGCCCAGTGCTCATGGTCCTCTAGGGTGAGCAGACACGGGTGCCCGGGGTCCCTCTCTACCTCCTCTTTGCTCCCAACTCTCCCGGCAGCTTCTGCCTTTCTCTGTCTCCGGACTGCAGCTCTCCTTCTGACAGGAGGGTCTCAGCGGGAAGAAAAAGAGAAATAAATAAATAATAGGCAGGAGCAGCCGCGCGCGTCAGACACCAATTTCCAGAGATTGCAGTAGAGGGAGCGAGGTTCCGGCTGGAAAAACCCAGCCCGGGAGGAGAGGGAGGGCTGGCAGGGCCTGCAGCTGGTAGGCTGCAGAGCATCCAGCTCCACTCCGGGGTCCTGTTCAGAGTGGGCGGTGGATGGCGAGTGCCTGTGTTGTAAACTGTCAGGAGGCTGTGCCAAGTCATCGGAGAGGGAGTGCGTGCCATTGTGCGGGGGTGCATGTTTGGTATGCTCGGGGAGGCAGGCAAGCGTGTCCTGTCCCTTGTGTATTGCGGACTGGGCTCTGCTGACCCCCTCCCAGCCTCGGGACAGTCAGCCACCCAGCTCTCCTCCTCCCGCTGTCCTCTACCGCCAGCGTTTGAGGTGATGGTCAGAGAGGGACAGTCCAGTCCCCCCCTTGTCGTCCCCCCACCCCGCGCCTCTCCTCCCCTCTGCCATCAGGAGGAGACCTTCCTTGCTTGCCTTCCCGCTGTCAGAAGGTCCCAGCATCTCTCTCAAACGCCAAGGATGCCAGGAACGTTCTAGTGACACAAACCTCTGAGATCTTCCTTGTTAGAGGCTGAAATCCGAGTGATACAGTGAAGAGCACCGGGGAATGTTCTGGGCCTAATGTGCCGCCTCCACTGGGTTAGTCTGTGTCTTTGCCAGTGACTCACCTTGGTCACCTCCCCCCCTTGCTGTGTGATGTTATAGTTACAGAATCCAATCCAGGCCTGCTGATAACAGTCCCAGAATCCCAACTACCTGGGAAAGTGAGCAGGAGAATCACGAGTTCAAGGCCTGCCTGGACCACAGCGTGAGTTCAAGCCCAGGCTTTCTATCTAGTGATATCTCAAAACTAAAAAAGAAGGCCTGGAGAGATAGCTCAGATATGTCTGTGATGCCAGAAC